TTTTCCCCCAAGAATGTCTCAAGTTTAGGATTTGTCTGGTTACTTGCTTCTGGTATCAATTAGCTTCTCCCTCTGTGTCCTGTATTTCCTGTGTATTGGAAGCCACAACTATAATCTAGCTCAATATTGTTGGCAGAATACATCACAGATGATGGAATGTAGTTTCTATTTACCATATAAGGGGATATACTATCCAGCTGTCTTATCATTCATGTTAAAACTAATCCCTGGATTAAGGTGATCTGTCCACCTTAATCTACTGGTAATTTTAGAAGTATAGTCTGTGGCCATAACACACAGCAAAGTTACAAAGACTCTTACCTGTGACCTTGGTCCCTTTAAAAATGGTCTCTAACCAGCTACATTAGAACACTATAATTTTCAAAGAGTACTATCTTTATGCTGAGGTGGGGTTTTTAGTGTAATCATTTTTTCTTGGAAGCACCTCCTATTATGTATTAAAATGAACTTGTTTAACTAATAGCTATGGTGACTACCACTTATATTTAACCTGATATACATTCCTTCTTTGCAATAACACTTTCTATTCAGTATGTCAATAAAATAGTAGTGAAAATAAAAGCAACGTTATTTTTTTTGTTTCATGGACAATCTTAACATTAGGTAAACCAAAAGCAGCAATATATCCACTGGTGTGTGTTGTCACACCTCCGGACAGGGTCACCTGGGCTGTTGTAGGATTGGACGTGTCCCTGAAGGCTCGGGGGTGGGCCCCGCCAGGCCAGAAGAATGAGGTCTCCTCGGGGAGGTCAGCAGGAAGAGGACGCATTGTGAAAACTGACTCAGGCCACCTCTCAACAGCCCTGTGAGAAAAGGTGTGGTGGTTTTGGAGAGTGTGAAGCGTGTGGTGTATGTGGAGTGTGGGGGGTGTGGTAGGTACAGCAAAGTGGTAGTGATGTGCGTGGTATGTGGTTAGTGTGGTGGGAGTGGTAGAGTGGTGTGGGTCATGTGTGTGGGGTGTGGTGGGTGTGATGCACATGGTGTGCGGTGGGTGTGGTGGGTGGTGGATGTGATGCACATGGTGTGCAGTGGGTGTGGTGGGTGGTGGGTGTGATGCACACGGTGTGCAGTGGGTGTGGTGGGTGGTGGGTGTGATGCACACGGTGTGCGGTGGGTGTGGTGAGTGGTGGGTGTGATGCACACGGTGTGTGGTGGGTGTGGTGGGTGGTGGGTGTGATGCACATGGTGTGCGGTGGGTGTGGTGAGTGGTGGATGTGATGCACATGGTGTGCGGTGGGTGTGGTGGGTGGTGGGTGTGATGCACACGGTGTGTGGTGGGTGTGGTGGGTGGTGGGTGTGATGCACATGGTGTGCGGTGGGTGTGGTGGGTGTGGTGGGTTTGATGAGTGGTGTGTGTGGGATGTGTGATGTGATTACTAGGGACTAGCGTATGTATGGTGTGTGGTGAGTGGGGATGTGTGTGTATGTATGTGTGTAAGGGGTACAATAGTAGTTCTGGCTGAGAATCGCTAGTCGCACCAAAGGGTTCAGATAATAGTTTCCAAGTCAAAAGCCGGCTGGGCAGGGGAGATGCCCCTCCCTCATCTCCCTGTCCCCCCCGCTGCACCCGAGAGGCACACCGCAGGCCTCCAGACGTCAGACTGATGGGACAGCCTATGCAGACGCTCTCCAGGTCCCCAGGTGGTGCGCCGAGGTCCCCAAATCCTCCTCCTCCCCGCCCCGCCCAGGGCCCTTCCCTACCCCGGACCCTGTCCTTCCTGCCTGACCGCCCTCGACAGCAGGGTTCAAGCCTCAGTGTGTTTGGCCAACTGCTGCCCACTCACAGCCCCCCAGGCAGATTTTGTTTGGCTGACACCAAGACCTAATTTTTGCTTACTTTAGTAGCGACATTTTAAAGTTAGGAGATTTTATATAAAAAGCTGGATTTGGGGTTTATCTTGAAAAACCAGACGATCAAGCTTCCCAGACCACGTTTAGCGTGATGAGCAGGATGCGGGGCCCAGCCGGGGAAAATCCACCTCCGGTGGCAGCAGGCAGACCCTGCAGATTGGGCCCCTCATGGTGGGTCTCTCTATACATGTCAGCATCTGCTGACGTCCAGGCTTTTCTCCTCTGCCCGCTGTCTCCACTCCTCAGCCGGGGGAAGAGCAAACACAGGGGGCGGTTAGGGGGAAAAACCTTAGGATGCTTCACTCGGACCGGGGACTTGGAATCCGAGAATTGTCTGCTATTCCGCTCAGCACTGCCTGATCTCATTCTGAAGACGAACATACTGCCCGCAAGTTATTTGTATCCCTGGCCCCTGCTACAGAAAACTTTGACCCCAACAGTCCTGACCTCCCTAAACTAAGAGTATTTGCTGCCTCCTCTTGTTACCTGGTTTGCATTAGAAGTTTTCTTCTTTCTGATTACTGACAGGGCTTCCCTGGTGGCTCCGTGGGTAAAGAGTCTACCTGCAGCACGGGAGAGCTGTGTTCGATCCCTGGCTTGGGAAGATGCCCTGGAGAAGGAAACGGCAGCCGACTCCAGTGTTCTTGCCTGGAGAGTCCCATGGACAGAGGAGCCTGATGGGCTGAAGTCCACAGGCTTGCAAAGAGTCGGACACGACTGAGCGACTCTCACTCACGGACAGTGAGAAGAGCTTTTCCCTGGCCTTTGGGAGGACGAGGGGATGGGAAGGGAGGAGACGGGCCACGTCAGTTGATTTTCTGTCTTTTTGGATTCCCGTCTCATCAAAGGGACTAAATTATCCAGGGGCAGCGAGAAGCTTTAAGAGTTAGGAGGTGTGAGTTCGAGAGATGAATTTGTTAGCTACGTGATCACAGACAAGCCACTCTGCCTCTTGAGATAAAAAGAGTCACGCTAAATAATCTATGAGCTCCGTGCCATCTAAGGCATTGATTCTTTCGGTCAGATACACGAAGGCACCTCCATGCTGCGGTCCCTCTTTTGCTCAAGTGTTTATTTCACATTTTAAAATGTATGTTGCTAGTTTGTTTGCTTGTGACAAGATCTCCCCGGTACCCCCCAAGGATCACAGAGCACCCCCACATTCCTGTTTTGCAGTTCTTAAAAGTCTTATTTTTATATCTGACAAGGGGTTAATATATAGTATATATTAAAAAGCCCTACAGCCCAACAACAACAAAAAGACAAATAATCCAATCTTAAAAGGGACAAAGGACATGAATACACATTTCTCCAGACAAGACAGACAAGTGGCCAGTGAGTATATGAAAAGATACTTACCGTCACGAATCATCAGGGAAAAGCAAATCAAAACCACAATACACTACCTTATACCCATTAGGATGGCTGTTATAAAACAAATAATAATAACACATGTTGATAAAGGCGTAGAGAAAATAGAGCTCCTGTGCAGTGGTGATGAGAATGTAAAATGGGGCAGCTGGTATGGAAAAGAGCATGGTGGATCCTCAAAAAAAAAATTCAAAATTTATTGCTTCATGGGTGCAGAGTTTAGTTTTGCAAGATGAAGCATTTTGGGGATGGATGGTGGGAAAAGGTTGCACATCAGTGGGAATGTTAATTAATTTTGTTAATTAATGTTAGTTAATTCCACTGAACTGTACACTTAAAAATGGTTTAGAAGGTGCCCTTTGTTATGTGTATTCACCACAATTAAAACTTTTAAACAATGACATGAAATAGTGATTTGGCTTAATAGTTTAAAAAAAGGTATCAAGAAACAAGTAACTCTGTGAAGATAGAAAAAACAGAGGCAATCTAATCACATGACATGATGAGAGTTAAAAGACTTTAAAACAGAATAACCTGTGCCTGGGGTCCCAGAGTGGGCCTTAAGCCCCGGGATGAGGTAGACACGGAAGAATTAGCACGTGGTAATGAGTCAGGCTGTACCGGGACCCTTTGTTCTGTGCACGCCCCCGCACTCAGCAGTGCCAAAGAGGTGGGCAGACCACTTAAGCCACCCCTCTGGTCGGACCCCTGGACCCAGGTGGCTGCCCTGCGTGCCTCCAGAAGCAAGCAAGGGCACATGATACTTGTTTTCGCTCCCTCCTAGGCCACAGAAACCTCAATAAAGCCTGGCCTGAATTTCTTGTCTGGCCTCTTGTCAATTTCCATTGATTAAGAGAAGGTCAAGAACTCTAGTGGATATCAGAAATAGAAGCTGTAGTGTATCAACACAACAGAGGTTATACAATCACAAAAATTATACTTCAAGACTGCACACCATCAAGGAGAAAGACTGCTGACATGATGTTGAGAAAATAGCAAAATATAAAACCGAAAGGTAAGATGTCCAATTACGTGTGCCTTTTAGACAGGGACTCCAATGGAAAAGGCAAAATGAAATCAGTTCCTGTGTCAGGGTAGTTTGTTTTTTCTACTTTAAAATGCATCTTTAAAATTGTTATAAGTGTATACAAAAAATAAGATGATAAGTGAGAGTAGAATAAAATAGAATATCCAAGGTTCTCCCACTCAGAAAAAGGAAATACTCTGAAAGATACAAGATCACCGTTCCTTCGAGAAGAAACACTTTTATTTTCAGTCTCAGCTACGCAGAAACAAGTGGAAACGGCTAAGGAGAAGAGATACCGTTTGGACCCACGGCAAAGGCTGCTCCAGGTCTGTCGGCCAGAGCTCACCCTGCTGTCTGCGCTGCGGAGACATTCCCCACGTGACACCTGGCCCTGGAGATCTCCGTGTTTACGGCTTTTTCTAAAAACTCTAAGTGTGTGGACAGAGCCTATTTCCGAGTCCACGGCATGCCTCCCACAGTGCTGGTCACAGCTGAAGTCTCTTGCCAGATGAATCTAATTACATACAGAGCAAGGGTCGGGGGGAGGGAAGGACTGGGAGTTCGGGATTAGCCAATGGAGTATATATGGAATGGGTAAACAAGGTCCTACCGTACGTCACAGGGAACTATATTCATATCCTACGATAAACCATAATGGAGAAGACTCTGCAAAAGAACAGATACGTGTGTGTGCGCGTGTATATACAACTGAGTCGCTCTGTTGTGTAGCAGAAACTCACTCACACGACATTAGAAATCAACTATACTTCAATAAGATTTTTTTCAGAGGGTAGACCGACTACCTGCTGTTCCTTTTTACCAATTGCTGCGTTAAATGCTGCCGCAGTGTGGGCTCCACGTCACAGAGACAAGCATGGGGAAGCAAGATACACAAGGTCACGGGTGCTGCAGGGGTCGGCAAGGCCAAGGTCCAAAGTCACATGTCTGGCAGGTGTCGCTATACCGAGAAGTATTTAAACCGGGGAGGCAGAACACCTCTCAGCGTGACTCGACTTTGAGTCCGTGTCTCACTGGACTCTGGGTTGCTCACGTCCCCAGAAGTCAAACATGCACAGACGAGAGAAGCCTGCGGGGGCTGCCGGCTCTGAGCTCCAGTATCAGGTCCCAGACCCTGGGGTCTTAAAGCACCCCTCTGCACCCCCAAAGGAGGGCCGTCCAGGCTTGTCGTTGGCAGTAAGGCCCTCTTTTTCTCTCTAGATGTGGACCTGGTGGGGAGTTTTCTATCCATTTCCTGGTGATGGGGGAATAAACACAGCGTCTGTTCGTTTCTGAAGATGAAGGGAAAATCCATCCTTACAAATGCCCTGTGTTCCCCAGGAGCGGCTGGAGAAACAGCCCTGCAGTTCCAAACACACAGACGATGATGAACACCCACAGGAACACCCTGTCCACCACCATGGCCACGTATTTCCAGTCGTCCTCTACCTGAAAGACAATATGTCAAGCACCTGTAAAAACTGAAGACCATGAGAGATAAGCTCTGTTTCATAAATAAGCTGCCTCCTTTGCACAGAAGTTTCGTTGACAACTTTTGAAGCAAGTATCCCTACGATTCTGGTTAACCCATGTCTCCACCATAGTGTACACAGCAACCGTCTGTCTGAAGACAGAGAGTGCGTGTGCGTGGTCAGTCCTGGGGCAGAGGGCTGCAGTCAGCAGGCTCCCGCGGGGCACACAGGGCTTCTCCTGACCGCAGGGGTGTGTGTGTGTGTGTGTGTGTGTGTGTGTGTGTGTAAGTCGCTCAGGCATGTTCGACTCTTCAACCCTGTGGACTGTAGCCTGCCGGCCTCCTCTGTCTGTGGGATTTTCCAGGCGAGAAAACTGGAGTGGGTTGTCACTCCCTTCTCCAGCCTGACTGCAAGTAGCAGCCCCGAAAGAGCTGCTCAGATTGCTCCATTCTTGCATTAACTGAGAAAAAAGCACAACCTGCAAGCTGAGAATTATTTTTTAAATTTATTTTTAATTGGGGGAAAGTTGCTTTACAATAGTGTGTTGGTTTCTGTCATACAGCAAAACTCGAATCAGTCATAACTATATAAATGTAAGGCTCTCGCTCTTGAGCCTCCCTCCCCTCCCCTCGAGAGTTATGTTCTATTCGGGGGATTTTCTGAGGACTTCAGGCCTGGGGGGCAGCCTCTGAGATTGCTCTGAGGGACTGCCCTGAAGAGGTAAGGGAGGAGCCAGGATAATAAGCAGATTTTGCAACAAAGACCAGGTAGTCAGAACATCAGAAGATGATGTTGCAGAGCATTCTGTTGCATTTTACTGCCACAGTCATCCTTTGATGTTACAACTGCCTAGTTTTTGTTGCAAAACCTCCTATATATCCTGGCTCCTCCCTATCCAGTCTCCCGGGATAAACCCTAATGGAAAAGAACATTTAAAAAGAATGTATATTTACGTATGTATAACCGAGTCACTTCGCTCTACAGCAGAAAGTAGCACAATGTTGTAAATCAACTATCCTTCAATTGTTTTTTAAGTTTTTTAAAAAGATTACCATTAATTAAGGAAAACCAGGCACCTCAAGTTAATGAATTTACTGCTTTTCTATAAGTGGGAAGAGGCAAGAGTCTAGGCTTATGGAAATCATTCCCTGGATGTGCACCTTAACTGTCTAGGGCCAGTATCCCGCTTTCTCCATCCTGAGGCCCCTCAGGGTGCTCAGTTGGGGGTGACGGCAGTGACTGATGGCTTGACGGCTGCAGCATCCATTGTTAACTGATAGAGTGGGGACATTTTGCACCTGCTCTTGTCATCAGCACCATGGAACCTCCTGACCCTGTGGCAGGTCCAGGAACTGGGTTTGAGGCAGCAGAGGGTGGGGGATAAAGCCCTGCAGGATGATGGTGCCCAACCAGGAGCCAGCAGCCCCCTAGACCCTGGCATCACACTAGTGTGGACAGTTCCTTACATCTCTCCTGCCCTTCCTGTTCCCAACCTCCAAGAGCCCTACTGGGTGGTGCTGAAGTCAGAGCAACCGTCCCCTAGGTCTGACGAAGGTGTCCTCACAGAAGGGAGTCCCAGGCTCACCTGCTCCTGATACAAACTCCCCCTCCACCTGTGTGACACACACTCGGTGTCCTCCCCGGCACCAATGGGCAGACTTCAGGTCTGCGATATCCTTTTGTTAGGAGATAAGGATGCTGGCAGCTGCCATCAGGTCAGACCCAAACCCTTGGCATGAGTTTTCAGAGGCACCTAGCTAGTCATCTTGGTGGAATGGGAAGTTGGCATATATTTCTTGAGCTCTCTCTTTGGAAGATGGGGAGGCCTGTCCTGCTATAGTTAGACCCTGGGCAGCAGGAGCCGACTGAGTTGATGCTAAAAATATCCTGTAAGCTCATTCAATCGGCACCTGGATCCCTGTCAGGTCTAGTGAGTGTGATGGAGCTGAAGCATTCCGTCCTGTCCCTTGGCTGGCTCTTCCCTCTCCCAGCCTTCCTTAAGCAGGGGCTCTCAGTCTAACTAACCAAGACTGCCCTGAGTGTTTATTTTAACCAGATTTCACTTGAGTTGACATTTCTGGAGGCAAAGGTTTGCTCTGAGGCTACCCCTTACTCCATCCCTTCACCAGGGCAGTTCAACCAACACTGCAGCATCACAGAGCTAGATCTCAGGGCACCTACTCTCTGACTGTCTTGTAAACAGAATTCACACTGGAGTTCTGACTAGGGTTCTATGCAGGGGCCCTAGGACTTCCGTGAGTGGACAGGCTAGAGGACTCATGCATTTACCTCCTTTGTTTCATTTTGGTTCTTCATGTTTTCTGCTATGAAATGAACACTATCAATTACATCTTCAACTTCAGGTGAGAGCTCCGAGTTTTCAGCCATCCACTGTAAAGGCTGATGACTTAATCTTCTCTTGCTGGTGGTGGGTTCAATGGATCTATGACAGTGGCAGCATTCTTTAAGAAGTCTGGGCTCTTTGTGATGATCAAATTTGACTTTGGCAGGCCTACTGGAGACTCCTTTGGGGTTTCTATCAGATCCTATCTCCTTCTTCTTGTCCAGAGGCCTCTTCATCATCAGGATCTGGGGTAACAGCCGGAGGAAGACCGCCTTCACCCACGTGGGCATGTTGTGAGTGGTCGGGGTGCGATAGTGGATGTTCAGTACAAACACCGTCACCACGATGGACAGGGTGACGAAGATCATGGTGAAGAGCAGGTATTCGCCCACCAGGGGGATCACGAGAGATGTGGACGGGATGGTTTCTGTGATCACCAGCAAAAACACAGTCAGAGAAAGAAGCACTGAAATGCAAAGTGTCACTTTTTCACCACAGTCAGAAGGAAGGTAGAAGACCAAGACAGTGAGAAATGAAATAAAGAGACAGGGGATGATCAGATTAATGGTGTAAAACATCGGGAGTCTCCTAATGTAGAAAGAATAGGTGATGTCTGTGTATATCTCTTCACAACAGTTGTACTTTATGTCATGCTTGTAGCCAGAAGCGTCGACAATTTCCCACTCACTGTTCTCCCAAAATTCATTCATGTCCACTTTAGAGCCAATGATTAGAAGGTCAATTTCAGCTTTGTCGTAAGTCCAGGAACCAAATTTCAGGGAACAATTTTGATGGTCAAAAGGGAAAAAAGTGATGTCCATAGGACAGGAACTCTTAAAAATCGCGGGTGGAGTCCAGGTTATCATGCCATCGTATTTAAGAAGAGCTTTTGTCTTGCCTTCGACTTGGAAGTCGCCGACCGCACTGCNAAAGGGAAAAAAGTGATGTCCATAGGACAGGAACTCTTAAAAATCGCGGGTGGAGTCCAGGTTATCATGCCATCGTATTTAAGAAGAGCTTTTGTCTTGCCTTCGACTTGGAAGTCGCCGACCGCACTACAAAGTAAATCAGACACCGTTAGTGACTCCCCATGTTTTGGGTCCGCCTGCACCAAAGGCAGCTCTGGAAAAAGACTGGCTGTTGGGTACGCATACTTGTTGTAGAGAACGATGTCGGGTTTCCAGATCATCTCGGCAGGAACACGGAGAGTCTCAATGCCGTCATATTCCGTGGGGTCCCAACGCAGCTTATAATCATTCCAGATCTGAAGGAAATAGGAGTCAGTTTTAAAAATTCTTCACTTTCTTCTAATGTTAATTCTATATTGGTTCAACAGTTTTTTGAAAAGGTTTTTATTTGAAGAGTACATGGTTTAATTCGTCATACCATCTTAGTCTTCCTTTTGCTCTTAATCTTTTATGCAGATTTTGTAATAAACCTATCATCATACTATCTTTTAATAACAGAAATGAATTGCTACTAGAGATTGACTATAGTCCTTGGAATGTGGACACGCATAGTGCAGGAGACCCTGGTTCAATTCCTGGGTTGGAAAGATCCCCTGGAGAAGGGAAAGGCTACGCACTCTAGTATTCTGGCCTGGAGACTCCCATGGACTGTATAGTCCATGGGGTCGCAAAGAGTCAGACATAACTGAGTGGCTTTCACTTAACTTTGGTTTCTACCAAAAGCTGGGAGATTAAACTCAAGGTGATTTAATTTGAGCTGATTGGGGCAAAAATAGGTTATCCACTATTCTTTTATGCAGATTTTGTAATAAACCTATCATCATACTATCTTTTAATAACAGAAATGAATTGCTACTAGAGATTGACTATAGTCCTTGGAATGTGGACACGCACAGTGCAGGAGACCCTGGTTCAATTCCTGGGTCGGAAAGATCCCCTGGAGAAGGGAAAGGCTACCCACTCTAGTATTCTGGCCTGGAGACTCAAGAGTCGGACATAACTGAGCAGCTTTCACTTAACTTTGGTTTCTACCAAAAGCTGGGAGATTAAACTCAAGGTGATTTAATTTGAGCTGATTGGGGCAAAAATAGGTTATCCACTAGATATTAGATATGTATCTATTGATTATTAATTAGCTGGTCAAGTTTATAGACTCAGTTTCCACATTCCACAGACTATGTTCAATCTCTAATAGCAATCCATCTCTAATAATAAAAAGATAGTAGGATGATTGGTTTATTACAAAATCTGCATAAAAGATTAAGAGCAAAAGGAAGAATAAGATGGCAAGACTGATTAAAGCAAATAGTGGGAATCTAAGCAGAATCAAAGAATGGGTAAGCATCTGGCTCTGAAGCTCAAGATATAAGCAAAAATAGGAGACCTGAGAGCAGAAACTTTCAAAGGACAGAGTCAGTGAGAGCTCTGTCACTAGGTTCTGCACCTGAAGCTTGCAGCCAGGCAGCTGTTACCAGATTGAACTTTGGGCTTTGAAGATAGATAATATTTTATACTCTGTCATAAACTGGAGATGGAAAGAGGGAGTGTTAGTGGATTTTATCCACTGGACATTATTAAACTGACATGTCAGTGACAGTTCCCAGAGAAGAGTAAGGGACACAGGCACATACGTGACGTAGCCACAGGTTGGTTTCCATGATCTGGTTCACTTCATCCTAGGAAGAGGAAGCAATGTTTTTTTAGCCTCAGATGTACCAGCTAAGAAGTGAATCTTAGAGCAAAGATTACAAATACAAACAGCTGAGCTGAGTTCGAGCTAATGGAGGAAAACAAAGAAGACTGAAAAGGTAACTTATAAAAATCGACCAAAAATACAATATTTCCACACTGGTGCCCACCCTGTCGACTTCTAAAGGAAATGTGGCTTTACTACTGTCTTTCAAATCTGATTGAAGCTTCACTTTTTCTGTAAAGGCTTTCTGACCTCTGCAACCCACAAGGCCTTCTGATCTTATGAAAGGAAAGAAGGGAGAGAACGGAGAGTGGGAAGAGGGAGGGGACACCCAGCAGATGGTGGAGGGCATCGTTGTTTTTGCCATCTTCTTCCCCAGCTGCGCCCCAGCACCCTCTAGGCTCTCAGTCCTGAGCCCAGCCACCCCTCAAGGTGTCAGCTCAGCTCACCATGGAGCCTTGCAGCTGAATCCTGCCACTCCCCGCAACACACCTCTCACTCCTGCCCAAGCCACTGCCGATTGCTTCACTCATTCATTAACAAATATTTATTGAGTACCTACTATGTGCTCTATAAATGCCGGGGTTACAGAAATCACCAGGATTGGAAAATACCCTTACCTATTAGCTTAAAGCTCAATATTCAGAAAACTAAGATCATGGCATCTGGTCCCATCACTTCATGGGAAATAGATGGGGAAACAGTGGAAACAGTGTCAGACTTTATTTTTGGGGGCTCCAAAATCACTGCAGATAGTGATTGCAGCCATGAAATTAAAAGACACTTACTCTTTGGAAGGCAAGTTATGACCAACCTAGATAGCATATTTAAAAGCAGAGACATTACTTTGCCAACAAATGTTCATCTAGTCAAGGCTATGGTTTTTCCAGTGGTCATGTATGGATGTGAGAGTTGGACTGTAAAGAAAGCTGAATGCCAAAGAATTGATGCTTTTGAACTGTGGTGTTGGGGAAGACTCTTGAGAGTCCCTTAGACTGCAAGGAGATCCATTCAGTCCATCTTAAAGGAGATCAGTCCTAGGTGTTCATTGGAAAGACTGATGCTGAAGCTGAAACTCCAATACTTTGGCCACTTCATGGGAAGAGCTGACTCATTGGAAAAGACCCTGAGACTGGGAGGGATTGGGGGCAGGAAGAGAAGGGGACGACAGGGGATGAGATGGCTGGATGGCATCACTGACTCGATGGACATGAGTTTGGGTAAACTCTGGGGGTTGGTGATGGACAGGGAGGCCTGGCGTACTGCGATTCATGGGGTCTCAAAGAGTTGGACACGACTGAGCGACTGAACTGACTGACTGATGTGTCTAACGGAGAAGGGAATGGCAACCCATTCCAATATTCTTGCCTGGGAAATTCCAAGGACAGGGGAGCCTAGTGGGCTATAGTCCACGCAAAGAGTCAGACATGATTGAGCAACTAACACACACATGTGTGTATCTAAGCTATTAGCTGGGAAGACAGAAAATAAAAAATAGATATATGATACAATGATAGATATATGATACAATGTAAGATGCTCCCCTGGTGGCTCAGATAGTAAAGAATCTGCCTGCAATGCAAGAGACCCATCGATCCCTGAGTTGGAAAGATCCCCTGGAGAAGGGAATGGCAACCCACTCAGTATTTTTGTCTGGAGAATCCCCATGGACAGAGGAGCCTGACGGGTTACAGTCCATGGGGTCACAAACAGTTGGACACAAATGAGCAACTAACACACACACACATAATGTAAGATAGTGATAAGTCCTACAGGAAAAAATAAAGAGGGATTGAGTGGTGTGTGTGTGTGTGTATGTGTGTGTGTGCACACGTGCATACACATTTCTTTTAGACAGGGTGAAGCAGGAAGGCTTCTCTGAGGAGATGGTTTAAGTAAGTACCTAAATGCCCTGCAGAGGGTCACAGATCTCTCTGGGATAAACTATAGATATATGATACAATGATAGATATATGATACAATGTAAGATGCTCCCCTGGTGGCTCAGATAGTAAAGAATCTGCCTGCAATGCAAGAGACCTATCGATCCCTGAGTTGGAAAGATCCCCTGGAGAAGGGAATGGCAACCCACTCAATATTCTTGTCTGGAGAATCCCCATGGACAGAGGAGCCTGATGGGTTACAGTCCATGGGGTCACAAACAGTTGGACACAACTGAGCAACTAACACACACACACATAATGTAAGATAGTGATAAGTCCTACAGGAAAAAATAAAGAGGGATTGAGTGGTGTGTGTGTGTGTGTGTGTGTGTGTGTGTGTGTGAGTGCGCGCACACATGCATACACATTTCTTTTAGACAGGGTGAAGCAGGAAGGCTTCTCTGAGGAGATGGTTTAAGTAAGTACCTAAATGACCTGCAGAGGGTCACGGATCTCTCTGGGATAAACGCATTCCAGGCTGACATCCCAAATACAGTGTGTTCCTAAGTAGCTACCACCTCCCAGTGGAGTAGATACTGAAGACACATCCAGAACCTTCAGCGACCTCCCAGTGCAACACTAGGAGGCTGTTGATGGCCACTAGTGCCAGCAGTGGGTTCCCAACATGTACCAGCTTTTCACCCCCAAACACAAGAGTGCCTTCCAGAGAGAAGCGCTCACAGCTGAGGGAGCGGTAGCCAAGGTTGGACACCAGCCCACTGTGGTTCTCTGAGCTGCTCTGCCCTTCTCCACGCCCCCCCAGAAAACGCTGCCTGGAGACCTCATCAGCTTCCTCCTTCAAAGAGGTTTGTGTCAAGTCACGGTAAGCCCAGGGTTTCAAACGAGTTTCCTTAACGGCTTTCTGTTGGCCAGAGCAGGCAAAGAGATGGACTATACTTGTCCATGGCTTTACAATTACCCCAGTCTAAGGACAATGCCTTCTGCTCATAGGAGGGTCACCTTGTGACCTGCAGATTGCAGCAGGGGCCTTGTCAATAAATCCATTGGCTGTCAGTCAGGCGCGGACTAGCTCTGCAGTCCAGAAAGGTCTCAGAAGTAAGTTATAAACATCTTCCAAAGACTGCTTCCTCTCTGTCCGCTAATATGCTGTTCAGAGAACCAGAACACACTGTGAACTAGAATGCTGTATTCAGAGAATTAAAATCAACTGGCAATATCACCCAGTATCCCTTCTCCCCATCTGTACTTACACAGCCTGGTGGAGCTCCAGGTGGCGTGGGCCTGTTTTATGGAGGGTAGACATCCCCAGAGGTGTCAGCCAAATTGATGGATCAGGACCTGGTTTGGAAAGTCTCATTCTCCATCCAGTGTCAGACCACACCAACGGCCATGGGAATTGCTATCAGACAGTGCAAGTGAAAGAGGCCCGAGACCCCCACAATGCCACCCCACATTCTTGGAACCATCACCCTGTGTCTCTCTCTTGGGATAATAAATGAGTTGACACCTTGATTGAATTAAAGGATTGGAATTACAATTTCAAGTAGACTCAATTCTGGAGGAGCAGCAACAGATTCAGAGGCTGAGCTCAGAAAGGCCAGGTGGGCCACATTTTGAAAGCCTCTGGTTTGTCATTTTAGGTATGCCAGGCCACCAAAAACAGGGCAGTGGCTCTGTCCTGGCTCCATGATGGGGGCAGGAGACACACTCCTGCTCTGAAGGTCCTTCACTCAGTAAACTTTGCCGCCAAGGCCATTCTATGCAGCAGCAAACACCCTTCTGTGCAGAGCCCTCTGGTGCTCTAAGGCCAAGCGTGGGGCTCAAACAGCAGCGAATGGCCTAGAATCTTCTAGAAGGGAGTCGGTAATTGCACGCCTGGGCTTTATTGCATCACAGTCACCCCCAGGCCTCACCATGACTCAGTGGCAGCCAAAAATATGGCCCACAGGGACCTCTGGGGCTCTGCATGAGAACAGGTCGCCTCCAAAACACTAATTAGGACTGTGGTGGTAACATCGGACAACGTAGACTCAGAGGAAAAAAAATTTCTAAAGATAAAGAGGGATATTAAGTAATGACAGAAGATTTAATCCTACAGGAAGACCTAACGATCCTAACTGTATGCACCAAAAACAGAATTATATGAAACAGAAGCTGATAGAGCTGGGAGAAGAAACAGATAAATCCCCAGTTACAGTTAGAGATTCACAGCAACCAATAGAATTACTTGACAGAAATCAACAAAAATAGGGACACTCTGAACAACAAGATCTAATCGATGCATACAGACACGCCACTCAAAAGCAGCAGAACACACCCTTTTTCAAGCATGAATGGAATATTAACCAGGATATATCATATCCTTATCATGAGCCATCAAACAAACCTCAAAACTTTTAAAAAGTTGGAATCACAGTCTGCTTCTTACCATAATGGAATCAAACTAGAAATCAATAACAAGAAGACAGCAGGAAAGTCTCTAAATCCATGGAAATTAAATTTCTAAATAATCCATGAGTCAAAGAGAAGGTCTCAAAGGGAAGCTTTTAAAATACATAGAACTGAGTGGGAACAAAACTATAATACATCAAAATATAAGGGACACAGACAAAAACAGTTTTGAGAATAAAATTTGCAGCTAAATGCTTACATTAGAAATGAGAAAGTGGGAAGTTGGGGTTAGCAGAGGTAATTTATTAAATACATATAATATATTTATAGTAATATATATTATATATATTATATATATGTCTAGGCTATAGATTCTTCTTCAGCTTCAGACTGAACTTACTGAACCAGACACTAGAGCAGTGAGATGTAAAAAACAAGACTCTTCTAAGACAACTACATTATCTCCCTTTGGGTCTTTACTGTTGTTGTTGTTTAGAACTGAGTAATGGAGTCAGAGCAAGAAATCCAAGCTCCTGGATTCCTCAGCTGTGTGATATTAAACAAAGTTCTGGACTTCAGTCTTTCCTCATAAATAGAAATACAGATAATGACGCTACTTGATTTTATGCTCAGAATTGTGTCCACATCAAAATTCGTATGTTGAGAGTCCTAACCCCCAGTATCTCAGAATGTGACTGTATTTGCAGATAGGGTCCTTAGGTAATTTAGGTATAATGTCGCAAATAGACACGACTGAGCAACTGAACTGAAATTGAAACTGAACTGAGGTCATATGTGTTGGTCATAATTCAGTATGCTCAGCATCCTTAAAAGAAGAGGGATTGGGACACAGACACAAGCTTGCCCAGAAGGGAGGCGAGGAGAAGACCTGGGGAAATGTATCTCTAAGCTAAGGAGAAAGGCCTCAGAAGAAGTCAACCTCGTTGACACGTTTCTCTTGAACTTCTAGCCCACAAAACAGTGAGAAAATAAAATTGCATTGTTTAAGTTACCAGTCTGACCGCAAATTCGGTGGCTTAAAATGATAGAAACGGGTTCTTTCCAGGCCTGGAAGCCAGAAGTTTGAAATGGGGCTCACTGGAGTAGACCCAAGACGGTGGTAGGGCTGCACTCCCGGGGGAGCTCTGGGGGATGTGCCTTCCTGTCTCTTCCAGCGTCTGGGGCTCCGATGTTCCTCGGCTGAGGGCTGCGCCTCTACAAGCTCCGCCTCCACGATCACGCCCCTCTACCTTTCTCTTCTCTGTCTTCCCTCTGCCTCTCATTTAGATTGACATTTGTGATTGCATCCAGGGCCCACCAGGTTAATCCAGATCATCTTCCTTGTTGAGACCTTCCCTTAGTCACTTTTATGAAGACCCTTTTCCATATACGCTACCAGTTACGGATTCCAGGGATTAGCACCTGGCACTGTCGGGAGCCCGATTGGGGGACGCATTCGGATCCGNAGGAGAAAGGGACGTCAGAGGATGAGATAGTTGGATGGCATCACTGACTCAATGGACATGAGTTTGAGTAAACTCCAGGAGTTGGTGATGGCCAGGGAGGCCTGGTGTGCTGCAGTCCATGGGGTCGCAAAGAGTCGGATGTGACTGAGAAACTGAACTGAACTGAACAGAAATAATGACAGCATCTTCAGGGGAGTGGATCCCTTGCAATGGGGGCCAGCTTTGAAGGGCCGGTACTCTGTAGATTCTTGTTTGCTTGTTTGTTTTAAATTTTTGCTTTCTTTTTTTTTTTGGCTGAGCCACATGGCTTGTGGGATCTTAGTTTCCCGAACTGAGGTCAAACCTGGGCCGTTGGAGTCCAGCATGGAGTACTGCCCATTGGACTGCCAGAGAATTCCTTTAAATCCCTTTATTTACCCCCGTGCAGTGAGTGGGAATTTCTCAAACCCCTCAGAGCTGGAGTCCCTTGAGGCCACATGGTACCTGGTGACCCCCTCGCACTTACCACATCGGCCAGCTGCGTGATGGCCACTTCAAAATACACGGTGATCGGGTCGGAAACGTTCTCCACGGGCCTGATGAACTGGTTATAATGAGCGAACAGCTTGTGAAAGAGCCTCTCCTCCGCTGCGCAGCCTGCACAGCCTTCGGGTCAAACAGAGGGCGGCGTCAGAGAAGCAGAGAGCGCGCCCGCGGGGAGGTTCCAGGGCCTTCCCTCCCCAGGAGGCGGCATGGGCATCAGCGTCCCCCAGGACCGCGTCTCCTGGCCCTCTGGGCTGGGCTCCTCGCCTATGTCATGGAGATGACAAGAGAAGGGCCTGCGTCTCAGGACTGGTGAGAGGGTAAAGAAAGTGATGCTGGGAAGAGTGCTTCTAAGTGGGTGGTCAGCTCCGTCACTGAACAGAACTCACCGTCTGGCTGATCTAGTCATTAAACTCCTGAACTTCCCTGGTAGTTCAGGGTAACGGTAAGATTCCCTGCCAATGCGGGGGACGTGGGTTCGACCCCTGGTCCGGGAAGATCCTGCATGCCGCGAGGTGTCTAAGCCTGTGCACCGCAACGACTGAAGCCTGGGTGCCCTGGAGCCTGAGCTCCACGCCCAGAGAAGCCACTGAGACGCCCACACGGTTAGAGCAAGCCCGCGCACAGCAGTGAGGACCCAGCGCCGCCAAAAATTAATTCATGAATTAAATTTAAAAAAAAAAAAAGTCCTGCTCTTTCTTGTCAAAGGACTGATCTGACTGGTCTTTGTTTCTACAACCAGAAGGGTGTGTAGCTGGGGAAACTTCATCAAACACACTCAAAGAGTTACCAAGTTTATAAAGGACTTAAGCCCTCTTCCTTTTTAAAATCAACTTTCGACTTCAATTATCTTTGATCTGTGAGAGTGCAAAGTTTCTAAGGAAATTTTTGCTGAAAATATTTTTTAAAGAACCCCCGAAGTTCTTAAGCAATAGCTCTTTCGGTCACCAAATTTCAGACAATAATGTAATCACATTTCTTTGTATTTTCCCAAGAATGCATTAAATGTGGATTACTTGCCTTCGTTTGACATAATTTCATCTCATTAATGCCCTTTCCATATTTTTCCTCATAAAAGTCAAATTTGATACCTGAAATATTAGGCTATATATTTCCCAAAGGGATTTATGCCCTGAAAGAAAAAAAATTTATTGCAAGCCCACCGCACGTGGAGGTGTGGCTTTGCAGACACGGACAGAGAGGCAGCTGTCTATTTCTAAGACCTAACTTTGAAAATGAATGACCTTCCTCTTGAGACATACCTCAGGACAGGAATATAACGTATTTCCCCAAACAAAGACAATTACCTACAAAATGGAAGGCTTCATAGTATCAGCTAATAAACCACAGTTCTGAAAAAACATATAAATACAGATAAAGAAATTGAATATATCCATAGCAAAGATAGACAGGAAAATGTACCATTATTACTGTTGCATATTTTCATTGGGAAAATAAACCATGGTTTACAATGTTTTCTTGTCCTCCTCATCCCATCCCCCCCATCTCATTTTACATGTTAAGTCAGCCAATTAAAAATGAATAGGTTAATTAACAGCTATATGGGGAGTCACTCCTGTACAAACACTCTCCGTATTTATCCATAGAGTATCCCATCTCTGCTCAGCGGCACACAAATAGAAGTGTATATACACGCAGCTGAAAAGGGAAGACCAAAAAAAAAGCAGAAATAAAACCTACCTTTAAAGCATAGTGCAAATACACACCACCAGACACACAGTGCAAAGCCAAGGGCTTCCTGACCCCCGCGGGGCAGCATGATTAAAACACTCTGATTTTCTTGTCCCAGTCAAAGGATTATGGAAAACAAAGAGCTATCAGCCAGCCACTCACACTGGACTTGAAATCACCAGAGTCCACTGCAGTCCAAGTGTCTTCCGTGAAATGAAAACCTTCACAAATATAACACGGTCGCTCCCAATATCAGAGGCTGAAGCCAACCGGAAGGGCAAGCCCAAAGGACTCAATCTGATATCAGATGAGGCATCTCATCTTCTGACACCCCAGCTCGCTTCTCGTGCGGGAGCGAAGAGGAGGAGAAGCGGGAGGGGCGGCTGGGCCGACAGCCCCGAGGAGGGATGGCAAACTCCGTCGTGGTTAGTGCGTCTTTGCCGAGCATCTTTTCCCAGCCACGGTCCTGAGGGCAGCGAACGCACCTTTCCTGACCTGCAGCTCTAGGTAAAGTGCCTGCCAGGTCCCAGTGCGTGTATTCTGATTCACTGAATTCTCTAGCTCATCGGGGCTTAACCTTGTTACCAGAAAGCGTTCTAAAATAGGAGTCCCTGTTAGGTGTGGCTCTGGGAGAACAGAATTAATTTGGTTTTGTCTGACTTCTAGTGCCTTGTCCTTCTGTGCTCGTCCTACAGAGACTAGAGATCAGCCTCCTGAGAACGAGAAGAATGAATACTGAACACAGGATGCCAACTGGACTGTTCTATGTTTATTTAGACATCCTTGTCACCAGTTCATTTTCTTATCATTCGCTTCTTTCCTCTGTAAGTTGTGTCAGTAACATTCTGATGAATTATGCTTTCTGGCCAGATTTTGGTGTTGGTTAAGGGTGAGTTAGCAGCAAAAAGAGAAGACAACCTACAGAATGGGGGAATTTATTGGCAGATCGAATAAGGGGTTTGTATCCAAAATATGTAAGGAACTCATAAAACTCAAGAGCAAACGAATAAGTCCCAGTTGAGAAATGGTCAGAGCACCTGAATAGACAATTTTCCAAAGAAGACACAGATGCGATGGGTATATGAAAAGGGGCTCAACCTTACTTAATCATCAGGAAATGTGAATCTAACCACAAAGAGGTATCTCCATCTATCTAGCAAGATGGTGCTTTAAGAAGACAAGAGATATCCAGTGTTAGTGGAGAAAAGGGAATCCCCGTACAGTGTTTGGAATGTAAATTGGTGCAACCACTCTGGAAAACAGTAGAAAGATTCCTCAAAAAATTAAAACTAAGACTACCATACGATCTAGCAATCTCACCTCTGGGAATATATCCAAAGGAAATGAAAGCAATTTCTCTGAGCAGTATCTAAACTCCCATGATCGTTGCAGCATTATTATTCACAAGATATGGAAACAGCCTGGTGTCCCGTGATGGATGAATGAACGAAGAAGTTGTGATATACATTTATGTGTGTGTATAACAGAATATTATTCAGCCATGCGAAAGAAGGAAATTCTGCCATTTGCGACAACAAGGATGAACATGGAGACATTAAGCTCAGTGAAATAAGCCAGAGGCAGACATATATTGTATGATTTCATGTGCATGTGGGATCTAAAAAATTCCAGACTCATAGAAGCAGAGCGTAGGATGGCATGTTGGTAGGAAGTGGGATGGGGTGATGACACGCTGTTGGTCGAAGGGCAGAACCTTTCAGTCATAGATGGATAAGTGCTGGTGATCTAATGTATATCACGGTGACTACAGTGACCATATCTTTGAAATTTGCCAAGAAAATAGATCTCAAGTGTTCTAACCCCCTCAACACAAATGCGTCGTGATGATGTGAGTGATGTGTTAGCCTAATCGTGGTGCTCATATATATCACAATATAATATATGTCAAATCATCACTTTGTACACTGTAAGTATACGCACTTTCTATTGGTCAGTTACACCTCACTAAAGCTGAGGGAAAAGAAAAGGAGTGAGACCCGAAGATGATGGCCCAGGGTCCTCCCATCCAAGCATTCCATGACATCGTCACGGAAACTACACTTGGCAACTGTGCAGGCTTTAGACTAACAGTTTCCCTCACAATTACACTGACCTTGTATCTCCTTCAAGAATGATCATTTATTTAGCACCAGACCTAGACCAGGCGCTGGGCTGGTTGCCTTGGATGTGTCACCTTAAGATGTTAGTCAGTCTCCTTGAAGCACAGGGGCTTTTGCCCTTTGCCAAAATGTCATGAGGAGTTTGCAGAAAACGTATCTGGACAACACTTCACTGTGATGGGTGAAAAGCCATCACATACCCTGAAATGGGGCTGTGCCTCTCTAGCTTTTAGGGTAAAACCCAAACCAGGTTGGCCAATTTCAAGGCACCAACAACACTGTCTAGTGTTTCTATTGCTCAGGCTTTGATGGGTTTGCTCTTCATACTTTCTAACAGACACACACTTCAGTCTCGCAGGAAAACTGCTATCTCACGTCCTTTGTTTTGTCCAGCCATCCTTCTATGTCGCCATCCCCTGTCATCTTAAAGAGCCCCTCTAGAGGAAGGATTCTGATGGGATTCATCCATCATCGGTCTTTCTTTCTCCCAGGAGCGTGCAGACGCCTGTCCCCGGTGCTAAGGTGCAGAGTGGGGGATAGGGGGACTTTGTGGGTGGGAGGGGGGTCACAGAGGGACCTCACCAGAGGTGAAGGAGGCAGAGGAAAGAACATGGACTTTAGAGTCAGACAGATTTGGATTCTGGCCCCAATACTTAGCATCCCCTGAGACCTGCCATCATCAGAAAGATGTGATTAAATTTGGTAACATAAATCCTTTAATCTCTCTCTACCCAATTTTTCATGGAATTTTTACTCAATCTCTTACCAGTACAAATAAGTAAGATGACTAAGTGAATCTAAAGCCTGAACATATTGTAAGTATATTTTTTTAAATATTTCTTAAAATTTTTAAAATATATTTTAAATATTTTCAGGAAGAGTATATTTTAAAAGCTTGTAAAGTAAATGCATTCTCCCATTCAAAGAAAATGTTTAAACTATCCCCTCATTATCAGAAAAATGCTTGAACTTTGTCACTGAATTATGGACTTCATGCCATTTTTTAAAATTGCAGAGAAAAAAAATAAAATCGCAGAGGAAGAGGTTAAGAACAAGCATACTTTCAAAATAAATTTTTTTTGATGGGGAATACATGTAAATCCATGGCTGATTCATGTCAATGTCTGACAAAAACCATTACAATATTGTAAAGTAACTAGCCTCCAACTAATAAAAAATAAATGGAAAAAAAGTTTTTTTAATTCAAGTAATAAAAGTTTAAAGACAATGTGTCTTTTCCTGATGTTGCTGTACCCTTTCAACTTCACATTCTGTGATTAGCTTTTGCTTCGCCCTGTTGAACCAGTTGAAAGTTTCACGTTACTGATCATGGTTTATGCAGGTGGAAAGGCTGCCTGGAGGTGAGAGGTTAATTAACATGGGAAGAGCTGAGGCGTTTCTCCTTCCCCCACTTAACCTGCACCCCCATCACCTCCTCCTTCCTCTCGGCCAGTTCCAAAGGGAAAAAGGAAGAAGTAGTGGATCTTAACTTTCTTCAAGACCATGAATGTCTGATAAAGACTATGGATTCTGTGCCCCCCACCCATGTGCATCAAACACCATGTGTCATATAATTCCCAGGGGTCCCAGACCTATGGAGGGCAGCCCTGGGTAGAGGCAAATGCAGGTGGTTCCAGCGTCTTCCCAGGATCTGTCCCCAGTCACTCCACATCCTCCCTTTTTCTTTTTTGGGGTTGTTGTTTTAGTGACATGTTATTTAGCCGGCCAGGCTCCTCTGTCCATGGGCTTCTCTAGGCAAGAATACTGGAGTGGGTTGCCATTTCCTCCTCCAGGGGATCTTCCCAACCAGGAATTGAACCTGGGTTTCCTGCATTGCAGGCAGATTCTTTACTGCCTGAGCTACCAGGGAAGCCCTTAGTGACGTTTAGAATATATTATTCTAAATGTTTATTAATATTTGTTAATTTTATTTATAAATAAGTTTATTTATAAATAAAATATTTACTAATATTCTCCTTATAGCATGTGTGCCACTATATTGAGCACCATTGTTAATATCATTGCAGGTCTTGGTTGGGGAAAAATAGTTTTAAGGGCTCAAAAAAAAATGGCATTTTATCTGAACAATATACAGGACACCACAAGCCATGCAACATCTACACATCCTCTTTTTTCAGAATAACATATTCTAAACAGCTACTGTGTCAGGAAATCAGCACTTCCCTGGTGGCCCAGCAGTTAAGACATTAACCTTCCATGGCAGGGGGCATGCATGGGTTTAATCTGTGGTCATCGGGATTTTCCACATGGTGCAGCAAAAAAAAAAAGGTTAGCACCTTAAAAAGCTAATGTGTCAGGAAATTGATAGGCTTCAGAGACTAATTGTTGGCTTCCTTTTTGGATTTTATCCATAGACGCAAACTTCAATTTGGAGGTTTTCTTCAGGGGGAAAAAAGTGATACTGGTTAAGATGAATCTTTTTTTATTAATATATTTTAAGCTTTTCCCTCCCTAGCTGCTAAATTAAAGCTATTGCTTTATTTTGCTCTACAAAAAAAGGAGACTACTTGATACCATTCTGTAAAATTGGTGATGTTCTTATTTGAAGTTTCAGGGATTTGGGGCATAGAAATTGCATGAATGAACATTTCATTGACCTTTTCCTCACTGTCAGTTCTCTTTAAACTCAAATGAGAAGACTCTTCAGTTGTCCCTAAAGAAATGTAAAGGAGATAAACCTTTAGACATGTATTATTTATAAATCCACTGCAGCAAAACATCTTCAATAATTTAATGATCCCATATGCTTGGCTTTGCTTTTTTTTTAAACTGTCATTAAACACTCACGTGTTCAATATCCCTAGTCAGTAGCATTTCAAATCCACCCCACTTGACATTTCCCAGACAAGAAAAATCAAGTAGCAAGAAGGGTAGTATTCAGATTAAATGGTCATTTTAGACCACAGAGAAACTTTAAATAAGTAGCTCATAAGTGAGGCTCAAATGA